AAAGTGAACTAGGTAAGATGTTGTTCTCCTAAATGATGTTGTAACATCATGCTTATTGATGGTTGTCTTTGGAAGATGCTTAGGATTATGGATGTGCAGTTGATGCTCAAAATTATTATATTCAAAAGTGGCATTCCTAACTATGGTGAAGAAGGATGTGAACCTTCCAACCATGTCTACAATGGTGTGTATGGTGAATTCATGACTACTGGGTGCAGGGGAGAGTATAAAATAGTGTGATATGATTAGAATGCTTGTGGGAGGTGGTTTCTTCTATTGCAAGTAACTCTAGAAAAGATCGTGTCAGTATGGATCTTGTGAAGCAAGAAAACTAAGAATTTTGTTATGAAGTATGTGTGTAATGTCAAACCAAGTGAGCATGACATCTTGCCTATCCTAAGATTCATGATAATTTGTGTGGATTTGTTAGGCCGATTATGAGATAGGTCCTTGTTGAGTGAATAGTTCAGGGTGCTTGAATGTATTCTCAAGGAGAGAGAGTATTTGGATCTGTGAGAATCAGGATTGACTTTACAGTGTGTGAATATGTTCAACAGGTGTGTTAAACCAGGAGTGTGAATTTGTTGCCCTCCACTATGAGAGTATGAAATCCTCCATGTGATTTCATATAGAGCTTGAGTGTATGTATTTGGCAAGAGCATTGCTTATCCTTTACAAGATATGAATGGTTTTAGCCATGTGCAGCAGATTAGTTGAATCATGTGTACAATTCATCTTCCTCTGCAGAGTTAGGTAAAACTCAATGGATGTTTTGGTTGATAGATGAGAAATGTCACACATGATGTCTTAATATCTTGGTATGTTTCACTAATTCTGTCTGAAAGGAGTATGCTTAAAGTCCAGTGGAAGGCATTGTGATTATGCTTCAGAACATGTGTGTGTTGTACCCAAAAATGTTCCCTCCCTTTTATTCAAGACATTATCCTAGGATTCTCAAATTCTCAAGGGTGCTCAAGAATTGATTAGACAAATTCTCCTCCGAAGCAATTGACCTAGACCTAGGGTTTTATGTTTCTCAAGGAAGATTGGGTTTCTAATGTCTCAAGTGGATTTCATGGTTTCTCATATGTCTCCAAGAATGCTCATACCAAGTTTCATGCTTTGAATCACAAGTTTGCTCAGTCAATGGTTCAGATGACTGAAAAATAACTGTATTAGATAAAAAATTCAATTATGGTCAACATACAGTCAAACTTCAAGATTTTTGGTCTTTGCGTAGGTTGAAAGAAAAGACTCACTAGAGAAGACGACTGGATCTAGGGCTCCGACGCCTCTCTGGTCCCGGAGTTTTATTTAATACTGGTTTTAACTATTTCAGTTTAAACAATGGATGTATCACCATCCTAGTGGTTAAACGCACGCGCTAAAGGCATTACTATGCAAGGGCACAGGTTCAATCCCTGCTTTAGATGTTTGTATGTTTTTTCATGATTTCCATGTTTTGCAGGATAACACACAAAAGTGTTGGTTCTCCTTTCTTGACACAGGCGTGCGCCTGGCCTAGTGGTGAAGGTCTTGGTGAAAAGAGAAAAGGGTGTGGGTTCAACATCCATCCCTGGCTGTATTATTTTTAAAACTTTGTTTTCTTCCTATTTTCCTTACTTTTACATTTACAAACCCTAAATTCATCAAACCAAAACTTTTTTTTTCATAAGCCCTAATTAGTTTTTTAAGGTTTTTATTAAATCAATGAAATAAATTTAGGTTTTAATTTAATCAATCGATTCCTTTTTTTTATTAAAATCAATTTAGGTTTTTTAGGTTAATCATCAAACCCTTTTTATCAAAAAATCACCAAAACAATTTCAAATTCCTTTTTTCCCAGTCTCACAATTAGTGTAGATTTCTTTTCTCACATTTTTTATGATTATTATAACTGCTCCCAGTTTATAATAGTAATTAGGGTTTTATTTTCCATATTTTATTACCTATGTACCTCTCCCAAAGCTGTGTAATAGCTTAGGGTTTATCTTTCCCTATTTATTTTTCGCATCTTTTTTGCTTTATTATTTTTACTGTTACTATTAGTAATTAGGTCTTGTATGGAAAGATTAAAAGCAAATGGTAGCTAACCCTAATATAAAGATAAATATAACTTAAAAAACTACCTTGCACACTTGCACCTCTAGGGTAACCTCCCTTGTTGCCTCGGAAAAACAATCATGTCCCTCAAAAGTGGGGATGCTTTAGCACTATCCCTCAAAAACAAAGACCGTAGCCCCTCGATGACCCTTTCAATGTTTCCTTCGGTAAACGATCTATTCCCTTAATGATAATTGCTAAAGTGTACCCACCAGTTGCCTTCAATGACTCTACGATGACCCACGACTGTCCCTTCACATGCAACGATAGGGCTTCTTACTAACTAATGGTAGGATAGCATTATCTAAAGGAGGAGGAAAAGTATAATAAAGACCTTGAGCAGGTAGAACGCTCGTAATCGCTTGCTCACAAGTATTTCAAAACAAAAATATCTTTCACAAAACACTTCTCAAAAATATTTTCGAACAAACACTTTGTACACTGAAACAACCGGCTGAACAATCAACTGATAATGAAATCAATGAAGTCTCCATCAAACGTTTTTTATACCATGGGAAGGGAAAGGTAAACATCGAGTAAACCTGAGAAGGGTGAAATCACGATCAAACAATCAAGAGATCGGGTAAGGGAGTCTGTTACGCGAGGGAAAGTTATTAGCACCCCACACACCCGTAGTACTCTATGGTATCCACTCTTGTTGTCTATCTCATTGGTGTGTAAGAATCTATATCTAAGTTGTACAGAGAATGCATGCAAAATAAAGGAGAAAAGAATATAGGGAAAATAAAATTATTCTCATTCGGGCCTTACCCCAATGCCTAGGTATCCTTTTTAAGGAATCAAAGCAGCCGTAGTTCAGCTCAAAAGTTTCTATTGGTTTTTATTTTTTAATGAAGAATATTAATTTCGCCTTCTGCTGCAGCTCGACCTTTGGAGACTCACGCATCGACACAAAAGTGAATTAACATGTTCTTTTGAAAAAGTTTGAAAGAAAGGCCCGAATGCGCAAAAGAATTTGCATTAGTTGATATCTTTTACCTTGAGGAAGGATTTGAAAATTGTTATATGTCTTGTGCATTTTCTAAGAAAATGTTTTAGTCTTAATGCAAGCATGCAAAAGAAAGAAAACACATCTAAGGGACACTAACCTGAATCTATCCCTAATGTTATTATATAATGATTGATCCAATGGTCGAGGATAAAAGGGAAATCTCTACCCTATGTTAGCATGCATGCATACTTATCCTAATGTCTAGCTCGAAAGCTACTCTAATCGAGCGATTTTAAGGGAAGCAAGGTGTAGAAACAAATAAGCAAACCAGTGCTTTGGAAAAAGCACACAAACATAAGTAGCACATACTGACTCAGAGGGATGGGGGAAACAAGAGAAATTCTTTAGCTAAGGGGAGCGTATCACCCGAAGCAAGCAAGCGGGAGACGAATGAAATATAGAAATGTGACGTCCAAAGCGACTAAACACCTAACCAAGATATAGAAGATCGAGGTAGGCGACAGAAGACAATATGAACGATCACGAGTGTCAGCATCATCCAATGCGAACTCCTGATAAAGCGTGGGAGGTTTGATTGAAAAACCCTTCCCCATTTGACGGACTCGATACACAAGATCAGCACAACTCTGAAGCATCGACGTACAACGTGAGCTAAGGATGACACGGACTAGAATATGCGGGGGACGATTACGGACCCTCCCTGCTCGCCTCCTTTTGAGGACTTATCATCTGGAATATAATGCGGGCACAAATGTAAACACACGTGCAGAATACCTACTTCAAACGTAGGATTTTAAACAACCATAATTAGCATACAAAAGGGGTGTCTGCTACAGGACTTTAAACAGTGACTTCGAGCGCACACTCTTTATTTCATGCTTCCTACTTCACATGATTTCTAGAAAGCGATAAATGCCCCTACTATACATGATTTCTAGAAAGCGGTAAATGCTGAAATGAGATAAACTAGAGAAAATACCAAACGAATATCAATCTGTAGCAAAGCGTATCAAAACAAAGAAACCCTCGACGATCTTCACGAAAGCTTCACCAATCAAAGAAAAGAGTCAGAAATATAATGCTCGGAATAAGCGTCGAAGCATCATCAATGTGAAAATAAATCACAATCGAAGTCTCAAGCACATCCGCATACCACACAGTAAACCTGTATAAGACTCAAATCTTGACAAGTAAAAGTTAATTACAAAATCTCAAGTAATCGGATAATCGGGATTTAATTCCTAAAATCAAATAAAAAAATTTAACAAATTTTTATTGATTTTACAATTTTTTATCATGTAAAAAGAAAATTCAAACAAATCTAAACAATTCAAAAAATTATTTAAAATAAAATTGCAAAGAGAAAAAGAAACAAGCCAAAGGGGTGCAGGCTGGAATTCATATGGTGTTGTAGTAAGTCTGGCGCCTAGGCTCAAACTGTTGAGTCCACATGCTGTTTTAGTTGCACATGGCTTCAACTTACCAAAAAGACGCCATTGGGCTTAGGAGGGAGATACAGGCCGAAATCCAGACATGTAGAGGTAATCTGGGCGCTGAGCCCAACACAAACTATCCAGGAGTTAGCCTTTTCTGTTTTGTTCAATTTTCCAAACTTCTCCAAAAAAACACTATGGGCTTTAAAAAAAATATGGTTCGGCCCAAGGAGACAAACAAGTCCATTTCATCAATTTGTTATTGTTATTATGTAAAAAAAAAACTGAATGCAAAAGCACAAATACGGTGTCGTTTAGGGCTCTAGGTCACGCATTTGCCTCTCTTCAACTTCCCAAACGAATTCTATTCCCTCTTCTTCTTCAATTCGGCAGTGCGATTCATACGATCCCTCCCTCCGTTCAAATCTCTGCCTCAACTTTCGGACGCTATTTCATAACCATTATTGCCAGAAAGGATCCCTCCCCCCATCTCAAGTTCTAAACCTCCATTCGTCTTGCTTGATATAGTGATCCTGTCGAGTCTTGCTTCTTCTTATGATGTGCATTTCTTCTGTCGTGATATGGTTGTTCATTCTTTGTAGTTGCAGTTTGCGATTCTGTGAGGTGATCAATGTTTCGACGTTGAACACCGTCATGCAAAGATAATAATGATGAACCTTGCTCCCTGTTGAGGATGAAGATGAAGGTTGAAGAATGTGAAGATGAAGACGATGATGATGCATGCAATTGTGAAGATGCTGAAGTTGCAGAGAGAAAGTCGTAGATTTAATCAGAGAGAGATGATCTGATAGATAAATTCTGCCAATTCAGAGATGAGTTTCTCCTTTTTCGTGAGAGATAGGGAGAAAGCGATTTCTTTTCTGGTGTATTGGAAGATGAAGATGAGAGAAGAAAGAGAGAATTTTTTGTGATTCTTCTTTCAGAAGTGAAGAATGAACGTGATGAAGATGAAGAAGAAAGGGAGAGAGCTTTATGTATTTTTCTGGTGATTCTGCAGTTGGAGAATGAGATGAAGATGAAAGGAGAAGAGGAAAAAGGTTTATGGAGATTCTTCTGCAAAATTGCAGAATGAATCTGAATTGGTAAGTTTTTCTGTTTTAATCTATTCTGTAGAGTTGAAAAATGATGAATCTGAATCCCTCCCTCTCTTTCTGTTATATCGTTCAGTTAGTAGAAAGTCAGTAGAGTTTGGTGGAAGAATTAGTTAGAGTTGAGTCAGCATTTTGTTAGGAAGTTATGAGATTTTGTTAGATTCAGTTAGGATGAAATGTGATGTTAATTAGTGTAGTTAGAAAAATGGTTAGGAGGTTAGAGACTAAAAAATTTGTTACTAACTTAATGGTTGTTTTTGGTTAAAAGCAGTTAGGGTAGGGCTGAGACTAGTTAGTTAGAATGGTTTTGGGTTCAGTTGGTTATCTAAAACTGTTAGATAAGTTTGTTAAACTGTTAGGAAAGTTTGTTATGGTTAATGGGTACATGAAGTGCAAGGCAGGCTTTTGATAGATTTTAACCTTGTAGCTGAACTGAGTTACATGTTTTTCACTTGCAGGTTTGAAATCGTTGAAACAAGGTTGGCTTGGATTTCCTTTGGAACATTAATGCACTGTTTAGCTTGAATTAAACTGGTGCAAGTCTGGACTGGTATAGGTAAATGTCGGGCTAGTAAATTTAATTGGTTTTCTTTCCCTTGAAATGATTTTTTGTAGATAACTGTTTTACTGGCTTATTCCATCTAATGTGTGACGATTCTGATTGACTACATGTGATCTTTTAGGAGCATTGCCAGTATGCTCCAAACTAAGATATTGCTCCCAAGCACCATAAACACCTCACCTCTGAAAACGACTGGATATAATGTCTAAATTCCGAAGGTACTCAGGGCGCCCCAGTGATGGAAAAGCAGACTTCCACTTGCTAAGCTCTTCATCAGGAACTTGAAGTTTCTTTTGTATTCTTACTTTAACTTCAGATAGAGATTCAACTTCATGTATAACCAAGAAAAAGGATCTCCAAAGTTTTGAATTCGCATTTTATTTTGAGCAGTGTCTTTAGTAAAGTGGTACACGTGAATAAACTGATCTTGTGGACCGATGTTTTTCTTTTCTTCTGGAATCTCTTCTGCTCGCAATGTACAGTATTGATCATTAACATTTTCAATCTTTTAATTGGATGGGAACACCTTGTATATCTTGTAATGATGATATTGTAATAATACTGGGAAATTTAATGACCATGATGTTGCACTTGCTTTTTTTTGTGTAACGGACACAGTTTGCACTCTTTGAATTTAATGACAAGTTCTTTATGCAAAGTAATTTCTCTTTCAAGTTTCTTATCTTTTCTTTGGATCTTGACATTAGTTGATGATGTAATGACATTTGAAGTTACGATACTTGATCTTGTAGAAGAGACTTGGTCTTGTAGAAGAGACACGTCCTTGTGATTTTTTTTTATAACATGTCTTTCTCTAAAAGAATTCACCAATGTCTTTTCTTCTAGGGACCGTGAATGGTGTTTGGATAGAAACTTGTTCATATACACTTTAAATCAACCCTTATGTTCAACTCATACTTTCATGATAAGTTAAATCTCAGTTGACCCCAAATGCCATGCTTGATCCTTAATGAAACTTTAACTCAATGCTTGAACCTTAAGGTCCAATTGACTTGTATTCGAAGCACAAATTTGATACGCCAAACTCCTTGCCCTTGATGTATTTAAACCCCCTGTCATTTGTACTATGTTACATGCTTTGCAATCCAATTAACTAATTGAATCACCTTTGAATTCTTAAGAATAAATCCACATGCTTGTGACTTGCAGAGCAGGTAATTAGAAGAAAACCTTTTGTTGAAGAACAAGTTGAAATGGGGAAGGAAGAACGATCAAGATAGTGATGACACCACACCTTAATTACATGATCCTCGAGGAAACAAATCATAACCCTTAATCTTGATGAATTTGGAGAAAAAAACCTTGTATCTTGAAGAGAAATGGACCCTCCACAATTATAGGTAACAACCCTAATTTCGCATTTTACTGGCTAAAAAAATGACCAGAAGAATCAGGCTTTGTTGAATATATACGCCTCAGAACACTAAGAACCCTTATCTTGTACACCCATTGAACTTTTGAACCTCATACATTTTGTTGAATGAAATGCATGTTATGTCAGTGCAAATGACCTAATGAAAAGTCTCGAATGCAATGCTAAGCTTAAGCCAGATAAAAGAAATTAGAAGGGCAAATTTTGGGGGTGCAACAGATGCCCTTATTTAATCGTCTTAAACCTGAAGGTGAGATTGACACCAACCTTTCGAACTTTCAAGGTGGAAGAAGATTAAATACCAAAAGAACTCGAAAATTTGCACTCCGAAGACAGTCAGGTATTATTATATTTTTTGCTTCTCTATATTTTGTTATTTGCCTTTATGGATTGCAGTAGTTATTTGGGTAAATTGCTTGGATGTCAGGTCAAGGTTAGACATACACAAGACAAAGATCAAATACTCAAGAAAAAGATCCACTACAGCAGACTCTAACGAAAATATATAACAAGAAAGAGACCTAACAAAGCGGACTCAATCGAAGATGTCGGGAAAAGGTGAGATCCCACAATGATTTCACCCAAAGATAACAGAGATGAATGAGACCTAACAAAGCGATCTCAAATGAAACTATCAGAAATGGAAGGGATCTAACAAAGAGATCTCGACCAGATATCTAGGAGGTAGGAAATCTAACACAATGATTTTGGCGAAAGGTATAGAGGGAAGAAATCTAATGCAGCGATCTCGATCAAAGGTAACAAAGACAAAAACATACCTAACAAAGTGGACTCAATTGAAGACATCGAATAAGGAAGAGATCTAACAAAGCGACCTCAGCTAGAACTACGGAAGAAGGAATAAATCTAACACAGCGATTTCGACCAAAGGCATCAAAGAAGGAAGAGATCTAACAAAGCGACCTCGGCCAGAAATATCAATGAAGGAAGAAGTCTAACACAACGACTTTTACCAAAGATATCAAAGAAGGAAGAGACATAACACACCAGACTCAACCAGAGATATCGAAGATGGTAGAGATCTAACAAAGTGATCTTGATCAAAGATATATCAAGGAAGGAAGAAATCTAACACATCGACTTCAACCAAAGATATCAAATAAGGAAGAGACCTAACACAGTGGACTCAACCAGAGATACCGAATATGGTAGAGATCTAACAAAGTGATCTCGAACGAATATATCAAAGAAGGAAGAAATCTAACACAACAACGTCAACAAAAGATATCAAAGAAGGAAGAGACCTAACACAACAGATTCGACCGAAGATATCGAAGAGGGTAGAGATCTAACAAAGTGATCTCGACCAAAGATATATCAAGGAAGGAAGAAATCTAACACAACAACTTCAACCAAAGATATCAAAGAAGGAAGAGACCTAACACAATGAACTCAACCAGAGATATCGAAGATGGTAGAGATCTAACAAAGTGATCCCGACCGGATATATCAAAGAAGGAAGAAATCTAACACAGCAATTTCAACCAAGGATATCAAAGAAGGACGAAACCTAACACAGTGGACCCGACCAGAGATATCGAAGATGGTAGAGATCTAACAAAGTGATCTCGACCGGATCTATCAAGGAAGGAAGAAATCTAACACATTGACTTTGACCAAAGATATCAAATAAGGAAGAGAGCTAACACAGCGGACTCGACTGAAGATATCAGAGATGAAAGAGATCTAACAAAGTGACCTCGACCAGATATATCAAGGAAAAAAGAAGTCTAACACAGAAATTTCAACCATGGATATCAAAGAAGGAATAGACCTAACATAGCGGACTCGACCGAAGATATCGGAGATGGAAGAGATCTAACAAAGTGATCTCAACCAGATATATCAAGGAAGGAAGAAATCTAACACAGCGATTTCAACCAAAGATATCAAAGAAGGAAGATACCTAACACAGAGGACTTGACCGAAGATATCGGAGATGGAAGAGATCTAACAAAGTGATCTCAACCAGATATATCAAGGAAGGAAGAAATCTAACACAACGATTTCAACCAAGGATATCAAAGAAGGAAGAGACCTAACACAATGGACTCAACCGAAGATATCAGAGATGGAAGAGATCTGAAAAAGTGCTCTCAACCAGATATATCAAGAAAGGAAGAAATCTAATACAGAAATTTCAATCAGGGATATCAAAGAAGGAAGAGACCTAACATAGTGGACTCAACCGATGATATCGAAGAAGGAAGACTAATCGCAGATAGACTCCTAGAGAAAGAACACCAATTGAAAGCGAAATGAGGATAAAATATACGTGTCTAGTCAGAGTTAAACTCATATAAGAAAGAGATTGGTTAAAAGAGACTCTAACTAGGAAAGGGGATGATCGAAACATAACCCAACTGGAAATGATAGCTAAGCTAACAGAAGGTAAACCCGGTCCAAACGGATAAACCCGCGAGAAGGAACTGATCGAAACAAAATCTTAACAAGTGAAGGAAATGATCAAAACATAACCTCACCAGAAATGTTAGTTAAGCTAACAGAAGGTAAACCTGATCCAAATGGATAAACCAGAGAGAATGAACCGATCAAAACAGATCCTAAACAAGGGAAGGAAATGATCAAAACATAACCTAACCAAAAATATTAGCTAAGCTAACAGAAGGTAAACCCGATCCAAACGGATAAACTAGAGAAAAGGAATTGATCAAAACAGAACCTTAACAAGAGAAGGAGATGATAAAAACATAACCTCACTAGAAATGTTAGCTA